AGAGCTGTGAAGAGAACCAGGAGTCCTCTCTCCTGTCCTAACCACGCAGAAACTCTTTTCTGAAGCAAGGAACAGAACCCAGGAGTCCTGTCTCCTAGCCCATGCTGTGTTTGCTAGGCAACTCCCAGACAGACAGCTGACTTTCCCTCCCCAGTTTATCATCTGAGCGGCCTTAAGCCTGTGTCCTTTCGGCTTTCTTCCTTCCATCAACCAAACTGGTCCTGCTTCTCAGATCCCCATGGAAAATGCTAAATGGGGAGCAATCGCAAACGCCAGTAAGGGAGAAAGAAATACATGGGGGATTTGGGGAGTTTTGCTGGCCTCCATTGGGTCCAGCACCTACTGGGAATATAATTCACCATGCTGTCACCTATCAGATACAAGGGAGACCCTTGCTAGTCAATGGAACAAGCTGCCAAGGGCGGTCCTGAACTCCCAGTCTCCGGAGGCATTCGGCACTCGACTAGCCCCCCCTTTTTATCCAGTACTAGGGAGGGGTGGCTTTGTGACACCATGAACTCCGTCGCTGGCTCTCATGTATGCCAGGGGTGCTGCTCCGAGCTAGAAGCTCCCCTCGAATGCCAGTGAAGCCCTGCCCACAGCCCATCTCCTTCCCTTAAGGGAGCGATTTGCTTTGGAACCTCAGAACATCCAGTGTTCCACCGCACAGACAACAGGAAGGGCAGCAGTGAGGCCCGGGGGTAAGACCCCAGGGTCGTTGCTAAGGGAAGGGGGAGAACGTAGATCATAAGAATGGCCACACTGGGTCAGACCAAAGGTCCATCTAGCCCAGTATCCTGTCTACCGACAGTGGCCAATGCCAGGTGCGCTAGAGGGAATGAACAGAACAGGTCATCATCCAGTGATGATGTCGCCCATTCCCAGCTTCTGGCAAACTGAGGCTAGGGAGAAGAGGTTCTGGAAGCAGGCATGTGTCTCCTTGTCTGGCTTCAGTGAATACAGTTGGCTGGGGAAGGCTTTGTGAGATTTCAGCTCCCCAAAGCCTGCAGAGAGCAAGTAGCACGCGCTGCTTCCCAAGGAAGGGGCAGGGATGCGCGGCTGGGTAGAGGGTGGATTCTTACGGGCTGCACTGAGCCAGAACTCACTTCTATCACTGCCACCACAATGCTGGCTATGGCTTCTCGCTGCCCAGGACCAAGGGCTCTGGTTTCCCTTCTTACACAGGCTGTCCAAGCTTCTCTGCACTTGCAAGGCCTCTCTGTAACAACTACCATCTGCTATTCCCTGACTTCACCTCATCCTAGATCATCTACCCACCCCGTCCCCTCCACCTGGCCATCACTCCTGACTTTCTTCCACCTCCAAAACAACGTCTCAATCCGCTTGATGTCAAACTGCCCCTGAAACCACCCGTCCCATCATGCATTCTGCCCCCCAACACTCCCCCATTCCCCCAGTTTTGCATCCTGCTGCACCAGCTTGTGCCCACGGACTGTTGCTCATTGGGGTAGGCACCCTGCTGACTTGGCACTGCCTACCTACCGTGCCAGACCGCCCCTGCTTGCTTCATGTCTAAACAGCTCATAAAATCTCCAGCAGCGTGCAGCTATCCGGCCTATTATCAGGGCAGGAGAGGGAATGGGGCAAGGGGAGGTGGGAACCGGAGCTGTTTACTCATAACTGACAAAGCAATTACAGGAGCTAAAATTAAAAGCGCTCTGGAGGAGCCCCGCCGGGATGTCAAAAGCAAGCACAGAGGTTGGAAACGGAGCACAGGGGCTTTGCATTAGCACCTGGGTGCGGCATTCTACCTTCTGCTGCAGGTCTGCAACCCCATTCACTGTCGGGTTGGGATTTCTTCATGAGATCCACTCCGAGCTCCTTTCTAGAACCAGCCCGCAGAGCACCAGGGTTTTGCAGGGCAATTGCACCATCGGCCTCTAAGCGTGGGTGGTTCAAAAGTTTACCATTCATCTGAACTGGCATCCTAAATCCACCCACCACTAGATTTGGGATATTCAGAACCTCCAGTGCTGGGTCAGGTCCTAAATGGACCTGTTTTCCACAGCTAGCTTGGATGCAGTCCACGATTGGAAGTCGTCCCGCAAAATCAGCCTGTGGGATTTTAGGGCGCTTGAACCCACGCTTCAAACCCCATTCCAGGTCCACACCCCTCCTCCTCAGTCCTTGTTTGCTAGCCCTGTTAGATCAACCTGGGATCAGGAAGTCAAGACCTTTGCAAAAGGTCTCTGGTAGTAAAGATCCGCCCTCCGTTACCATCCTGCCTTGGAGTGGGACAGCTCAGAGTCCGGCTCTTCATTTGGGAGCATAGTTAACAGGTCTACCAAGTGCTGCTGCAGGCACACGGCTATTTTTAGGCACTAGCGGGAGCACAACGAGCATGTATATATCCACCCATGCTGGGGATGACACCTCAGCCAGAGTGTAAGCACCCCCTAAATCACGCAAGCCAGCAGATCTGACGGATACACACAGGGGCAGAGGCCATGGGAGTGCCAAGGTGGTATTTTTGTAGCATGATTTTTACAGGGTGGAACCTGCACTTTAAGTCACCGGGAACCAGGTTAATTCCCCGCTCAATAGTGATCGCTAACTAGCGTGAAAGTGGGGAGGAGAAGGGACAAAGGGTTCTGCAGGAATGGGAGGTTGCTGAGCTAAGACATGCTGGGCTGCAGGATCTGAGGTAGGAGGGGAACAAGTCAAGGGGGGTCAGAGTAAAGGAGAAAAAGGACAGGGCAGAATAAAGGGTGTGGTGGTGCGGGGGGGGGAATAGGATTTAAAGGAGAGACATTGACTAGAAAATGAAAGGGAAGGTAGAGTCAGATACTGGGGGGGGGGTAATATACAAACTTGGCAGGGCAAGTGGAAGAGGGGGTAACCCAGAGAAGGGGAGGGGCAAGCAGGAGGGGGAGCATGAAGATCAGTACCAGGAGGGTGGTAAATAAGTGGAGCACCCAATCTTCAGTGGGATCCCAACAATCACCCCAGGAGGCTGCCCCCTGTCTAGAAACAGGAGGGGGGGGCTGGGGCGGTTACAGCAGCACTCAGCAAATACAGGAGGGTCGAGCAAAGTCGGGCAGGGGCTGATCACTTGCAAACCACACAGTGCCGGGCTGCAGAGAGCTTTAACTCCACTGGCAAAGCTCCCAGCTCAGGAGCTGCTTCCCTCCCCGCTGGGGAACAACCCTACCTGCAAGAAAGAGACTGAGCTTCTCGGCCAGCTGTTAGGCTCCAGGTGGCACAAACAGAACCAGGACCCTCCCGCTAAGCTGGAAGGCTGGAAAAGTCTCTAGATGCTGTCTTTTAATAGAGCAACACGAGGGTCAGGTGACCTGTAGGCCTTAAAGTTACACACACCCCAGGACGCCGATCCATGCCCAAAACAAGGCCCCTTCCTATTTCACAGGGGGCTGCCCAGCATCTTAATATTAATGCTTTAATCTATATAGATAGATAGATAGATAGATAGATATAGATATAGATATAGATATATATCTCCTCTCCCTCACAGGCTCATCAGCAAATCATCGGGCATGGGGGACCACATTGGAACGAGCGAGGACACCTAGGAAAATGACCCCAGTTGTCTGCAAAGCATCCTTGTCTACGCCAGTACCTGATCCGCTAGTATGACCGCTAGTGCCGATTGGACCTACCTTTCAGCACCATAGCGAAGCATGAGCAAGACCACTAGCAGTTAAGCCGTGCTTCTCCCTGTGAGAAGGGATCAGTGGCTAACAATCCATTGCCCTGTATAGTCCGATCTTGTTAGGTCACCAGTTCATAGCCAGCCCAGATCAGCAGTGACTGACGGGCATTCAATGGCTGCTCGGTGACCCACATAAAATAAGGTGGAAGGGGTGAAACATGATTTGGGGCAAAAGCTCCCCCCCCCCCCACAACATTTTGATGAAAATTTTTCGATCCGCTGGGGGGGCGGGGGGGCTGTGAGCCCAGTTCATTGGGGGTGGGTATACAGCACAAAGACCACAACTCGGGTACCGATTTCTTCCCCTACCCATTGGAAAGTCTCAGTAGCCAAGGGATGACCAAGCCCTGGAGACCCATCTCCCCTCCGCTCCCTACAAGGCTCTCTCCAGAGCTGAGAGGTGCTGGTGGGGGAATACCCTGTTCTGGAAGGTAACTAGAGGGATCAGGCCCCAGGGCTGCCCTGCCATCAGCTAGTGGGAATGTGGGGTGTGTAAGGACAGGGAAGAAAGGGAATAGGAATTGGAGAGAGAACAGAGGGATGGAGGGAGGGGGATCCAAGATTTGCAGAGAGCCTGGGAAGGTCCATGCAGTGGAAGGAGAACAGGAGCGGGTCAGAGTAAAGGGGAGGAGTGGGTGGAAAGGGGGATCTCAGAGCATGGGGGAGGTAAAGAGGGGCAAGTGATCAGTGGTGGTGGGAGGGTGAAGGGGGAGCATGGAACAAGGGAGCGGGGCAGGGGGAGAAAGTGGGAAGGTCAAAGTGCAGTGGGTCAGGAGGGGAAAAGGGAAGGGGATGGGGTGGGCAGCTGGGTGGAGATAGGAGAGGGGGCTGAGGCAATGGGACAGGAGGGGAGTCGGAGGCCCCCGGGATCCTGTCCCTGGTCAGTGTCCTGGGCTTCCCCCCTGGACTCCTGCCCCTCTAGGATCCAGCCCCATGGCAGGGTTTCAGTGCTTCTCCCCACAGCGAGGGAGGGGGTGATCCTGCCCCCCACACCCCTGTCCCCCAGGGCTCTCTCAAGGCAGCCTTTAGGGGCACGCTCTTCCTGGGGTCTCTCCGCAGACCCCCGCCCTGGGCACCGCCACTGGGCATGGGGCAGGGGATGCACCTCCCTCCCCCCCACACACACAACCCCGGACCCCTCCCCTGCACCCAGCCTCTCCCCTGGCCCCCCACCCAACTTCCCCTGCCTGGGCGCTCCCCGACCCGTGGGGGGGGGGGGCAGGGGCAACTGTCCACGGTGCCCGAGAGTCCTCCCTTCCCCGGCCGGGCCATGCCCCCCCGCAGCCCGGTGCCAGGCGGCCCCCGCTACCTGCATCGCTCGCTTCTGCTGCTGCTGCTGCGGGGAGCCTGCCCGGGACCGCAGCTCCGAGCCGCCTCCAGCCCCACCGCCAGCGGGACTCAGCGCCGGGACTCCGGGCCAGCGCTCAGCCCCCGCCCAGCGCCGAGCCAGCCCCTTAACCCTCTCGTCCCCGGCCCTCCCAAACCCGCCGGTCCCGGAACGCAACACCCCCCCCCCCATCCCCACACAGCCCGCACTGCAGAGTCCGGAGCGAGGGAGAGGGGGAGGATGGAGAGACACGGGTGCTGGGGCAGGGGAGGTGTGGATGGGGAGGGACGGACAGATAGATCCGGGGGGATGGAGAAACCAATGGATGGATACATAGAGAGGTGTGTATGGGGACGGCGAGATAGAGAGATGGAGCCACGGGGAAGGATAGATGTGCCTGGAGCTTGGCAGGGTTAGATAGGTATGTATGGGGTTAGATAGGTGTGTATGGGGATGGATGGATGAACAGACTATGTATATGGAGATAGGTAGGTGTATATGAGGAAAGATAGATGCATATGGGGATGGGTGGATAGATAGGTGTCTATGGGGATAGATAGATGTATATGGGGATGGATGGATAGATAGGTGTCTATGGGGAT